GCACCTCGTTAATCAGAATGGGATTTTGGTCGACCCGTCCAAGATTGAGGTAGTTATGCGATGGGAGGTGCCGAGATCCCTATCTGAGATCAGGATTTTCCTTGGCCTGGCAGGCTACTACCGAAGATTTATCAGATGTTTCTCCAAGATTGCGGTTCCCCTTACCAGGTTAACCAGGAAGGGTGTTACTTTTGCTTGAGGGCCCAAGCTACAGGCCTCATTTGAGACTCTTCGGCAGAGATTGTGTAAAGCTCAAGTGTTAGCGCTTCCCGAGGGTGTGGATGAATTTGTAGTTTACTGTGATGCGTTTATATCAGGTATGGGTGAAGTATTGATGCAGAGGGGGCACGTGATATCTTATGCATTGAGGTAGTTGAAGCCTCACGAGACAAGGTATCCCACCCATTATTTGGAGTTGGGGGCGGTGGTGTTCACCCTCAAGATCTGGCGCCACTATCTGTATGGAGTCCGGTGTACCATATACACGGACCATAAGAGCCTGAAGTACCTTATGGATCAGCCCAACCTAAATATGTGATAGAGGAGGTGGTTGAATATAGTGAAAGACTACGACTGCGAGATCTTGTATCATCCGGGCAAGGCTAATGTGGTAGCTGATGCCTTGAGTCGTAGAGCAGCGAGTGCTTCGATCCGAGATATGTGTATGAGGATGACGGTGATGACTCCAATCTTAGATACCATATGAGAGGCCCAGGTGGTGGCCGTGAGACCAGAGAACCATAATAGAGAGCGGGTAATCGGGTAGAGTTATGAGTTTAGGACGGATAGTCGGGGCCTTATGACGTTCTGTGGGCGGATTTGGGTGCCCTATACGAGTGGAGTTCGATGCATATTGATGGAGAAGGCACATAGATTGAGATTCTCGATCCACCCGGGGGCCACTAAGATGTATTTGGATCTGAAAAGGGATTATTGGTGACCCTATATAAAGAAAGATGTGATATGGGTAGTTGAGAGGTGTTTGAAATGTCGCTAGGTTAAGGCGAAGCACCAGTCTCCCCGTAGCCCGTTGCAACATTTAGAGATTCCCCAGTGGAAGTGGGAACAATTTTTCATGGATTTTATCACCAAATTACCGAGGACTGCACAAGGTGTCGACGCACTATGGGTGATTGTAGACCGATTGATGAATAGTGCTTCCTTCCTAGCTATCAGTGAGAGCTCTTCTGCGGAGAAATTGGCAGAGATTTATGTAAGAGAGGTGGTAGCACGACATGGGGTGCATACATCGATAGTGTCAGATCAAGATGTATGCTTTACTTCCAGGTTCTGGAAGAAATTTCATTAGGATTTAGGTGCCCGGTTACACTTCAGTACCGCATACCACTCACAGAAAGACAGACAGAGTGAGCGGACGATTCAGACACTCGAGGACATGCTACGTGCATGTGTTATGGACTTCAGTGGAAGTTGGGATACTTATTTTCCCTTGGATGAGTTTTCGTACAACAGCAACCATCATTCCAGTATTGGTATGCCTCCCTGCGAGCTCTTATATGGGAGGAGGTTCTGGACTCCCATATGTTGGGGAGAGGTGCGATTGAGAGTGATGAGTGACACTGAGATAGTGCTCAAGACGACTGGGTAGATTCAACAGGTCAAAAAGGTTACTAACGGCCTAGAGTCGCTAGAAGAGCTACGCAGACCGACAACGATCCGAGCTACTGTTCTAGGTCAGAGATTTTGTCCTCCTAAAGGTATCCCCATGGAAAAGGGTGATCCGATTCATAAAACAGGGCAAGTTGGGCCCTAGATACATTTGGTCCTTTCAAGGTGATCGTCCGAGTGGTTAGGGTAGCTTACCAGTTGGATCTACCTGCAGAGTTGAGCCAGATTCATAACACCATCCACGTGTCTCAGCTGAGGAAGTGTGTAGCCGATGAGACGGCAGTGGTACTGATATGTGCATATTTAGCTATATATTTCAATTAGAATTTTATTACTTTTTGGATAATTTATTGCAATTTATGGACAAAAGGTACTTAATTATGTTTAAATTGTATTTTCAATCTAAAAGATGAGCTCGGAAGCAAAAGGAAGCGGGAAATGCGATCGGGAACTCGGGAATTGAAGAAAGAAGAAAAAAATAAGAAAATAGTCAAAATCCTGAAGGACTCGGTGAGTTGGACGTCTATTCGACGAGTCCACATGATTGTTCGCGAAGCGAATACAAAGTCCTTGTCGTACACAGATTCTACAAGGGGGACTCGGTGAGTCGGTTATCTACTCGGCGAGTAGCCCCTATTTTCTGAAGTCTATAAATAAAAGCCAATTATCGAATCCAAACGTTTCTCTGGAACCTCTGGGGATTATTTTGCGACTTAAGGTGCTGCTGAAGCTTTGGAGTTCGTGGAGAAAACCCTAACCTTCAATTTTAAGGAGATTTTAAGGCAATTTAGTTTACTTTTCACTTTATCTCTTATTTTAACCATGTTTGAATTATTAGACATTGTTTGTGAGTTAATTCCTGCTGTAATTATGAGCTAAACCTTACATCTTCTTTTTAGGGTAGATAAATTTATAAATATGGATTCATTTGTGGTTGGATTAATTGTTTATTGGTGAATTTTGTTTTATTAAGCTTGTTAAAGAACCTTATGCATTAACCGTAACTATTTTCTGTTGATTAACAAGTAATTAAGCTGCATGAACATCTCTTAATTGCTTACCTCATATGATTTATGTCAAAACATTGTTATGTGCCTAGGAATAGCGAACATGAAACAAGGGTTAACTAGAAAATGGGTAAATTAATGTGTGAGCTTGTGTGATAAACCATCAACAAGAGGTTAATTGAATTAGTAATTTGATTATCTAATTACAAGTCTTATTTAACCTGAATAAATAAACTAGGAAATTCATTCGTTTAATCACTTGATCACTGCTTAAATTAATTTTTTTTTCTAAGAATTAGTAATAGTAAATGTAAACCTAATTACTTTAATCGGTAACCAATAACAATTAATCCATTGCACTTGCCATAAAATCAACCATAGGAGTAAATGAATCAAACTTAAACATAAGCTTTCTTATTATTGAATTTAGTTGGTTTTTATTTGCTTTACCTGTTAGTTACTTAATTAGCGTATTAGATAATTGTTTAAGTTTCTAGTCTTGCAAAACTAGAGAAAACCTTTTACTTTTATTAGTTGTTTTAGTTAATTCTAGTCATTATTATAATCATTGCTCCATGTGTTCAATACCCTGCTTATACAACTATACCACCAATTGGCAGGTCCACTACCTTTGTGTGTCTAAATTATATCTTAAAAGTAGCACTAAAACTAGTGCATTTATATACACATCAGGTACTTTTAGAGGACATTCAAGTTGATGCAAGCTTGAACTATATTGTGAGACCGATAACGATCTTGGATAGGAAGGTGAAGGTCTTGAGAAATAAAGAGGTACCCCTGGTTCAGGTCCAGTGGCAACATCGGAAAGGATCTGAGTGGACTTGGGAGCCGGAGTCAGAGATGCGCGAGCAACACCCAAAGTTGTTTCTGGAGCATGACTTCGAGGGCAAAGTCTGATTCTAGTGGGGGAGAATTGTAACATCCAGACTCCCAGGTATAATATTTATGATTTTGATTGAGCAACTCGATGAGCTGGAGGCCCCAACTCATCGAGCAGAGACAGATTTGGTCGCGTGGGTTTTACGACCAACTCGACGAGTTGGCATTGTGAGAGGAAAACCCTAATTTTCCATGGTTGTGTCCTATTTAAAGGACCTTGAGCCCTCATTTCTGCCTCTTATGTCACTTTACTCCCCGGTATGAAACCCTAATCGTTTAGATTGATTTAAGAGAGAAAGAAGAGTTAACATTGGGCATTCTAGTGCACTGCTGGAAGAGAATAGAAGAGTATCAAGGCTTGGAATGAGAAGGGACTGTTGGATTCAGTGGTTTATCTATCCTTAGCTTATACTGAAGGTAAAAAGTCACCACCTTGCTCATTATTTTGATTAGATCTCGTTTTTAGGAACTTTAGGGCTTTTTCCATCTTTCCTTGAGACTTTGAGTATTTTGAGCTTGCCAAGAGATTAAGACTTCATATCTGGACCTTATGAGCTCCCTTAAGCCCAAAGGTCCAAGCTTTATCAAGCTAGAGGAGAGCTTTTATGCTTAGGACCCTAAATGGAACTTGTTTGGGCATTTCAAGCCCTAAGTGCCATGCATAGACATAAAACTTACAGCTTTACGTGGTATCTCAGCCTTGGGAGGCTAGATCTAGAGTTTAGGGTTATAACTATGCCTTAAAACGTGTAAATGATAAAAGGGTCTTAAGGGACTCGACGAGTTAGCTAGGGTTTTCCCCGACGAGTTTGGACATGAGTAACTTGGCAAGTTAATGAGACAACTCGACGAGTTAAGTTGGATTTTCGTGACATTGTTGAAGGAACGAGGGGACTCGACAAGTCACGTAGATGCACCGAATGAGTCGGGTCAACATGGACTGTTGACTCGAGTGTTGACTTTTGTTGATTTCAGGGTTTGGTCTAGATAGGGATTATGGAGACCATGGAGGGGTAAAACGGTCTTTTACCCATTCCAAGAGTTAGAGAGAGCCATGCTTGTCCTAATAAAATTATGCAACAAAGCACATGCCATGAATATTCTACCTTGAATTCTTATAAGATAAAATGAAGGACTTCCTAATATAGCCCAATATCTCTTTTGTAGACCAAAACACCTCTCAATAGCGTTCCTTACTTGAGAGTGTTTCATGTTAAAGTATTCCTCCTTATTTGTAGGTACATATGTACTATCTTCCCATTCCCGTAAATGATACCTAATACCTCTATATGGTGCCAAAAAACCTTCACCGTTGATATATCCTCCATCAGCCAGATAATAGTTACCTATAATAAATAAAATAATAGGTATGAATATGTAATTATGTTTACTTCAAATATTTAGTAATTATTGTTTTAGCTTACCAATTGGAATCTTCAAACCATTATGTCTAGTAATTGCATCCCTCAAAACCCTTGAATCAGTAGCCGAACATTCCTAACCAGCTAAGACGTAGACAAAATTCATGTCACGATTGTAGACACCTAACACATTCACTGCTATATTACCCTTTCTTGTTCGGTACCTTGGTTTATATGAGTCAAGGACATTAACTTCAATATACGTTCCATCAATTGCTCCTAGACAATCCTATAAATAAAATACTAACTTGTTCTTAGTTCAAGCCTCATATTAATTTGTAATATATCATAATAATGTTATAATGATTACGTGGAAGCATTTCCATTGGTTGTCTGTACAATCATTTGCAACATGCGTTGGGTTAATAAACAATATCTCTTGCAAATGCATCAAAGCACCCAAAACTCGATGAACATAACAACTTACCGTTTCCCCTAACCGACAGAATCTAACTTGAATACATCTGTTTTTTTGTGGTGTGCTAATATGTTTAAGACTATAGCAACTTGTGGAACATCCCAAAATTCAAGACCAAAAACTTCATTTTCAAATAAGTTATTATAAAACCATAACTATAAAAACATCCATAATAACATTCCATGTCACAACCAAAGTGTCGATAGTCAACCACGTTATCATAAAGTAATATCAGAGTGTAATCCCAAAGATCTCATGTGCGGAAAGCATAGTGTGATGCGTTGCGATCAAGCCAACTCCTTTCCCTTGAAAACGAATACCTTAAACAAAAACTATAAACCGTAAGCACGAAGCTTAGTGAGTTCCTCCATCATACCACATACCATATAACAAACATACTGCTAGGCAATTATGGGTTGCCCGACCTACCTTACCAGGCAATTCTGGGGTGCCTGGCCTACCCATGTCAAGCAATTCTGGGGTGCTTTACCTACCCTGCCAGGCAATTCTGGGGTGCCTGACCTACCCTCCGGTTTATCTCAACCGGCTATGGGGACTATTTCACCCCTACCACTACCACATAACAACATAACAAAAACATACTGTCAGGCATATCTGGGGTGCCCAACCTACCCTTCGGTCCTAACGACTGTAACATGAGGACTACTCCCCTCCTACTACCACTATCACATAACAACATATCATGCTAGCACATCAAACATATCAGGTAGTATCAAACCTATAATTATCACAAAGACAATCATCTATCAACAACTCCTACTAGTTGGCCGACATTATGGCCGTAGACTCACTTCTACTGGAAGGTAACTCTAGTTGCTTGATGACAGATTCCTGAACTATCAATTATCAAAATAACAACTAATTAGTAGTTGGGTTCCAACATATATCCATAAGTCCATGCTTGGGGTAAAAGGCTACTTTACCCCCATATTAGCTTGATTCAAGCTCAAGGCCCAATCCAAGGCCCAAAAGTCAAACTATAAATCAAAACCCAACATATGGCCCAATTTTCCAAATTGGGCTCAACCTTTACATGGTCTTACCCTAAGGCCCAACCTTTTATTCCAATCCAACATGTGGCATTCCAATGGTCCAACATCTCATAATCATCAAGGCCCAATTATGGCCCAATTTTCCAAATTGGGCCCAAACCCTCTTATGGGCCCTACCCTAAAGCCCATCTAAATATTCTAGTCCATATGATGGTCCTTGGATGGCCCATAAATAGCCCAATAGAGAGGCCCAACTTAAGGCCCACTTAACATTAGGGTTTCTTACATGAAATGATGATTAGGGTTAAGTGTTCCTACTTAACTCATTAAGGACTTAATCCATTAAGTCCATGACTATACTAGATAAATCATATGGTGTGGTCGGGCTTAATACATAATCCCAATCCGGTTGTCCAAAATGCGGGTCCTGACAACCCAAAGCCAATATATCCAAAATTAGGGTTTTCTAAACCCTAATTAAGGTTTCCCACCCATCACAACCAAATTAGGTCCAAAAGCTGATTCTTTAGGCCCATTAGGGTTTCATTAGGTCAATTAGGATTTTTCCTAAGTTAAGCACCACCCACTACCACCTCGGGTAGTGGTGGTCAACGGCGGCGACGCCCACCTCGCGGTGGTGGTTATGGTTCTAGTCCATTTTTGTCCAAGCATCCTAAACAAAATCTAAACACAAACACAGCACACCGCCACCCAACACGGTGGCTGGTGGCGGCAGGAGGCGGTAGCCACCACCTCATGGTGGTGGTTAAGAATTTTCTTGATTATTTCATTCACCAGTTACAATAATACAACACAATATCCTAAAAATAACACACCTAAATAAAATATACACACACAACCACTTATAGCGGCAGGTGGTGGTAGAGAGTGATAGCCACCACCTCATGGTGGTGGCGGTGGGGTTTTCCTTCGGATCTCCAGACAAGACACGCTCCTGTAGCTCTAAACCATCACAACACACGCACACAAACACCATAAAACGCATACAGCCACCTCCCACGGTGGCTGGTGGCAGTAGAAAAGGGATAGCATGGCGGTAACAGCACTAGCAACAACAATAGGGGTTGAAGGCAGCGGAACTCCCCCACATTGATGGCTACCTCGAACGACAGCAACATCAACAGAGGAACAGACCCGCGGGTGCTTCTCATCTTCACCGGCAATGAGGAAAAGTCGATCCGCAACGACAGCAGCGACACTAAACGTCCGGCGGCCCATTAATTCAACGGCGACTTAGTCTTCACGGGGATGGCACAGAGGTGGCTGTTCGGTGGAGTAGCTGCTCGGCGGTCTGGTTTGATCGAAAAACAAACAAATAATGGTGGTAACGACGCCGAAGACGAATGGGGTATAAGGAGGGTGGCAGCTTTAGATGGCTTTGGTTAGAGTTAGGGTTTACTGGGGTGATGGGTTATATACCTTGAACCCCATACGAATTTATCCCATAATAACAGATTCGATCCCTCCTTCCCCCTTTTTTTTTCAAAATGAGTCCATCAGTTACCCTTTTAACCTCAGCCATCTAAAATACCATCAAATTAAGTCAAACATTTTACCAAGCAGCCCTTCCATCCACAATTATTTTCAAATGAAGTCCATAATTTACTCTTTAGCCCCTGCTTCCATAAATCCTTTCATATCAAGTCGCGTACTTACCAAACACCCCCTATCTTCTAAAAATCTTTACAAAATAAATCCCAGAACTTACACTTTTAACCCTCAACTTCTAAAATTATGACAGTTAACTCCTCAAGATCAACACCTTGTTATATAATTATTGATTTTAGGGCTACTGTTCATTCATTAATTTGTTTATTTGTTTATTTAATAAACGGGGTGTTGCAACTTGCTCCTCAATGATCACTAAACCGTCATTTAATAATCCACCATGAGTTTATAGTAATTCACATAAACGTGCAAATGCATTTCTGTCCATATGTAACTCATTTATACAACTTTCATCACTTTCACGTGTGATACGTTGTATTTCTGTTGACCTTTTCGAAATTGTGTCTAATCTACTTTCTAATGTACTTTAGATCTTTCCTTTGAGCTTCTTTTTCCTCACACTCACATAACCAAAGTCTAATTGTAGCTAGGCATATCAACAACTGAATATAACTCTCTAATAATTTCACAAATAGGAGCAAAAGATTACATTCCATATCTACAAAGTTTTAAAAAAAAAACAAAACAAAAAAAAACAACATATGCTTGACTATAATGAGAAGCATACACTTAATGGGGTTGGTACAATCAACTAACATGTATTAAAAACTTAGTGACAACTACAAACATGCAACTACAAGCACTCATGGGCATTTTCGTACATAATCGAGTATCTAAAACATGCATCTGACAGAAACAATATAAACTCGATATGAACAAACTTCTAGAACCAAATGCTTCTAAATTCCATAAGTATTAATAAAAAACAAAGAATTTTAAAATTATTGGGTAAATATGTACACCAGGAGGCAACAAAACTATATTAGGCTTACAGGTTATCAAGATGTATTAGGTTGAGCATTGACTTTGCTAAATCTATACGGGTATATTGGTCATTTATTAAAGAATGAGTTGAGGATGAAAAAAAATGATGTCTGCAACTGTGTTCATACATGGGTATAATGATTAATGTAAATTTAAAGGGTATAATGGTCAATGTAAGGGTTCAAGCAATATTAGAAAGGTAATCGAGTAAAACAGATTATTGGAATTGGCATTACGTGGCATGAAATCTTGATGTTGTATACATAGATTGTTAGATGATTGGGAGCATGGATTTGGTGAAGATATGATTCATGGATATACATGGCTGTATTGGTCATTTTTAAAAAATGAGAAGTATGAAAACCAAATGACGTTTGCAACTGTGTCCATTCAAGGGGTATAATGGTCAATGGTCACTATAACATTAAATTAAAGTGTATAGGAACCTGTGTGTGCAGTTGATTTTGAATAATCTTCAACAATCAACTAATATATATTACATTAATAAGAAATTTAGGTTTAAAAAGAAACAGACGCAAAATTGGGTTTAGAAAGATCAAACGCATGTATGTATAACGACAAGCATAAAATCTTGAAATCGATTTATACAAGTATGTAAAACTAGATAAAAAATACAAAGCAACTGATAATTAATAACATATCGATGCAAGTGAATAAAAAGAGAAATATACTTGAAATCAATCATGTAAGTAGTAGAGAAAGAAACATGTAATTAGAGAAAGAAACATCGCACCTTTGAAATCGAATTCCTTGCAGATGAGATATCGTGAAATTGATTAGACTCGGAATTACTTGGTTGATTATCTAAAGAAGATAATCAACTATCGGTGTATGTATAGCGAGAAAGATGAGACAAGGCTATGAGAAAGATGGAAACAAGGCTGCAGAAGCGCTCCTAATAAGGGTATTTCTGTCCAAGGAATAGAAGATAAAAACGTGTTCCACCTATTTGGGTGGGATTATTTTTTTATATGAATAGTCCCATTGGACTTGGTAAAAAAAATTGTTCCAGTTCTACTTGTGCCAAACACTTTCTGAAAAATTATAGTTCTGTTCTGTTCCACTTAGTTCCCCCCACCAAATAAGGTCTTACAACCAACATCATCCACTCCCACCACTATCATCTACCTCTTACTGTTACCATCTGAGTATAGCAACAAACACCACCTTCTATCACCACCACAACCATCCATTTCTATTGGTTAACACCACCACCAAGTAACTAATCTAAAATTAACTTCAACGTATAACAAAATGGATTTAAAATTCTAATAAATTCAAACTCATATTTTAATAATAAAATTGTATATTTGAACGAATGTAGTTACTAGTGGACAACAATTCAAGAGAAATAGGATAAAGATAGATGTGGGGTTTTCGCAAAGTAGTGGAAGAAATAGAGTAGTTAGGAAAAGTGTGGGTGATAACAGATGGATGTTGATGGCAATACATGTTGTGTGAATGTTTTTCATCGAATATGAGAATGAGAAAGTTGTGCACTTTGCAATGTTTTTAAAAAAATAAAGCTGGTCAAATAATGTTTATTTTCTTCTTTGGAATTGTGTATCTAGAGAAAATGATGCAAGATTGATGATGGCCAAAAAAAAAGATGAAATGATTAAATATAGACAAATCTTAGTTAAATGATAAATTATGTATGAAAATATAGGTTTAATGGTGTTTTTAACATCAAATATGAGTTTAATGGTCTTTTTTTTTTAACATGAAAAGCTGTTATACTTATAATAGTTTATCAAAATGATATTCTTGAACAACAAATATAAGTTTAATGATAAATTATTTACAAAAAATATTAAATGTATACAAAAATGCTAGTTCATAGCCCTATAAAAGACATTTCTCATTTCACGGCTATTATAACCCTATATAAAAGACATTTCTCATTTCACGGCTCTTAAATATATGAATTTGTTTCCATTGTTTTTACATCCAAACACTTGAGGGAAAATTCGACAACTAACCCCAAAAAGAGAGAAAATGTCACTCAAGTAGATAGGCAAAATTCAACAACTAGTATGAATTTTCTCGATTGTTTGTATCATAATCTTAGGGAAACCACATTTCTTTGGTGAAGGAAGTATATATGTATGTTTTTCAAAATATAGGAATTTGTTTCCATTGTTTTTACATCCAAACACTCAAGTAGATAGGAAAATTTTGATAATTGGCTCCAAAAAGACAGAACGTTGATAGGCAAAATTCAACAATTAGTATGATTTTTATCGTTTGTTTGTACATAATGTTAGGGAAACCGTATTTCTTTGTTGAAGGAAGGTTATTTCCAATTTGTTTATTGGTGATAAAGTTTGATCCTCTAAACATTTGTTTACTCGTTAGTGTGATACTAACCCGTTTGATAGAGATTTAGTCTGTTAATTTGGAAGTCATGAGTTCTAATATGGACGACACGACTAACAAGATGTCATAATAAAAACTATCTATTTTCTGAAAATAATCAAATGATATAATGAATCATATGTTTACCTTATACCTTATCCATGTTGTCATAAATAAGATCCAGATATAATCAAGAACACTATGTAAAAGCAAAAAGTAGGTTGTTTGGTATGATGTTTGTATTTACAGATAAAATTAGTGAAACATGTGCACAATTACTATTACTTTGGCATTGTGAAATTAGGTAGGATCACCCTTGAGCTATCTAAATTTTGAATATTTTTATAATAAAATACTACAATTATATAGACATGTATAATGTAGGGAAAATGACTCTGGAGGGTAACTAACTGTTGAGTTTGTTCTTATTTGACCCGTTTCCTTTTTTTTGTACCTAATATACCATCGAACTTGTTGTTTGTGTTCACCATAACCCTTTTGACTAACTATCATCTGTGATAGCTGGTCAAAGGGTTATGGTAAGCACAAACAACAAGTTTGATAATATATTGGGTACGAAATAAATGGAAAGGGACCAAATGAGAACAAACTCAACAATTGGTTACCATCCTGAGTCATTTTCCCCAAAAAGTTAAATGAAATTAAATGTGCAAATGTATTAAAGACTGCAACCTTGATAGGCCATAACGTACATGAAGAGGGGTTTGGAGGGGTAGCTTCGTCAAAATATGGTTTATACAATGATTATTGTGGTTAGTTGTCAACAACTCTCTGCAAAAGGATATGAGTGTGTATGAGAGATATCTTTATCATCATAAACGTTTATCTTAAGGTATATTATGATGATGTGTCTGCAAAAGTTGCATGATCTTGTACATATTGATGTTGTATCTTATCCCGTGAATTCGATCTTAAAGCCAAACAAACTTAAAAATCACAGCATTTGTGATTCCACTTGTTTGTAGACTTGTCTAGAATCTATGATACAATAAATCATTTGACTAGAAATTTAAATGTAGTCATGAAATGCACCTACTCAATCAAGATTATCCTAATAAATATTAAAGCGCATTACAAAGTTGTACATCTATGAATAATGTTTTTTCGTGAGTTATGTTTTGAAGAGAAACAATAATGAATCTCATAAAATCATTAATATGAGCAAGAGATGACGTGATATTTTCTGTAAATGAGTAAAGGAAAATGACTCGGGATGGTAACCAATTGTTGAGTTTGTTCTCATTTGGTCTATTTCTTTTTCTTTTCTTTTATTTTTATTTTTTGTACACAATATACCATCGAACTTGTTGTATGTGTTTACTATAACCCTTTGACCGACTATCACATGTGATAGTCGGTCAAAAGCTGGTAAAAAAGGTTATGGTGAACATAAATAACAAGTTCGGTGACATATTAGGTAAAAAACATAAGGAACCAAATGAGTACAAATTCAACAGTTAGTTACACTCCATAGTCATTTTCCAGTATAATGTATTATAGATTTTTCGTAGTCTTATTTATTGTTATTATTTTTTGAACAACAAATACAAATATACACTAAATTACTCTTCGATGATATATTGAGTAAAAAACATAAGGAACCAAATGAGTAAAAATTCAACAGTTAGTTAAATTCCATAGTCATTTTCCAGTATAATGTATTACAAATTTTCCGTAGTCTTATTTATTATTATTATTTTTGGAACAACAAATACAAATAATACTAAATTACTCTTAAATTGTCCATAATAAGACTTGAACTCTCGATCTCAACAAGGGAGAACAACACCGGATACCGCTGGACAGCAGAAAATGATAAAATAATATTAAGCAAAATATATCTACAATTAATTTAGTAATTATAATGTTTATAATTTGAAAATTATAGTATCAAATGCTATGTGCTATCATTATAAAAATTGAAAACTACCAATATGCAAATTGTCAAACCTTCCATGTAAGATACCAATTAAAATATATTCATTAAAAGCTACAAAAAGTTCTTTGGAAATTTTATATATATATATATATATATATATATATATATATATATATATATATATATATATATATATATATATATATATATATATATAAAAGCAAACCTCCACCTAAAGGAAACATAAAACTGAAATGAAGTGGAAGGAGTATGAATATCCATTGATAAATAATTATATTTCTTTTGATCTGAAAATATTCTACAAATTGAGGTCAAATTTCCGATTTGAAGATGACGGATTGTGTAATTGGTAAGGCGCTCTTCCGGTAGCTCTGTCTTTTCTCTTCTCCAGGAACTTGTGAAGTGATACTCGTCTCGCAATTGGCAAATCTGATCCGTTTTCTTGTAATCCTTGAAGAACATGTTCTGATCCGAAAGAGTCCGAAGATGAAGCCAGTTGAAGACGATTATGGATTTGATTATTAGGAGAAGCAGAAACACTAGTGGCTGCTAACATCAGATCTCTCGCTTTATCAGCCGAAACACAATCAAATACCAACACTTGTCCTCCATAGAAAATCGTCATTTGCTCTGTTTTTGACTCATTCTGTTTATTGGAACCAGTTTTGTTAAAGAAGGAATCCAAGCTACCATATTGAGGAAGATGACTCATTGATTCCTCCGTTTTTATGGATTTCTCAATCGGACTTTCCATTTTGCTTAACAAATCAACAGTCGTCGTCGCCGTCGCCTCGGAAGATCTTTCTGGTTTTCCTGTAACAAAATCAGGGGAAACTTTTAGATTATCCGAAATCTGATAGAACAAAATCAGGGGAAACTTTTAGATTATCCAAAATCTGATAGAAGTCATATGAAAAAAAGGGATTATGATTTAAGATCCATACCTATGACGTCAAAATTTGCATTGATTCCAAGATCGATTAGATTGCCTTTCTCTTTCAGAAACAGACTCAGTCGATTACAAGTCTTGGCAAAACTAGACTTCTCCACCGGAAGCAAGCCGTTGCCGGAAAAGTAGTTTTTAGCTGTTGACATATTTAATAAAATCAAATATTTGTGGAGTAATTATGTGGAGGAAGAATGATTTGAATGAAAAACAGATGAGGGTTTTGCTGTTTTATATGAGATGGGGTGGGTATGTAAGAATGAATGTATAGGTATGATTACAAATGGTGTGATGGAGACATTTGTATACATGAATAAGCACGTGTTAATTGCGTTCATTAAGAAAACTAAAAAAAAAGTGTGGAAGAGTGGAGAAAAACCGGGGGAACCGAACACAAGTGTCACTCAGTCGGCGATAGAGTTGACAGCTCAGTCGGCCATTCAAAGGTGTGCGCCGTTTCTGGTGTTTAAGGTGATGATTTATTTTAGATCAAACGTTTCTTTCAAGTAACACATTTTTGTTTGTATATAATACTCCTAATAAGAGTAAATTACAGTTTTCGTCCCTTTCGTTTAGTCAGATTTGTAATTTTAATCTAATTTTTGAAAATTCGCACCTTATGGTTTAAAAAGTTAACATTTAAAAATATAATTTTACCTTTTTATAATTTTTCATTTTATATTATAAATTTCTTTTATATATATATATATATATATATATATATATATATATATATATATATATATATATATATATATATATATATATAAGAGAGAGAGAGGAGAGAGATAGGTTCCGTTGAGATTAAAAATAAAATAGATATCTTGACATTCAACCTCAGCCATGTATTTCACATATGTCGCTCTAAACCTCTAGCGTACCGGCTCGACAGACCTAGTATAATCATAAATGATTATACAACACCGTCCATTCCTTTCACCTCTGCCGCCATACCCATCACCATAACCGCCACCACCAACACCACTAACACCACCTCTGACACCAGCCGACCCCATCACTTTCACCTCCGATACTTATACCATCATTACCTTTGTCACGACCACCTATTTTCCCACCAACTGTCATAATCATTTATGATTACTCAATTTGTGAACAGACATATATGTAATTATGTATAATCATTTATGGTTAGACATATAAATATAAACATATATAATCCTATATGATTATACATCTCAACCATATAATCATTTATGATTATACATCTCAACCATATAATCATTTATGATTAGTCATACCACGTTGTTGCCGATACATTCGATCATTAGAGCGGCAAATGAGAAATATGTGGCTAAGGTTAAATCTCAAGATCTTTATTTTTTTTAATCTCAAGTGAACCATCCCCTATATAGACAAGATATTTTAACAAAGCTTAAAAAAATCTAAATATTAAAAAATTTAAATAAATAAAATTAATTATAAGTGAACAAAATATAAAAAATAAACAATAATATATATATATATATATATATATATATATATATATATATATATATATATTATTGCTTTTTTTAATATTTTGTTCACTTATAACTAATTTTATTTATTTAAATTTTCTACTATTCAGATTTTTTTAAGCTTTGTTAAAATATATTGTCTATTGTATTATTGCATTTCGGTAGTTTATATTTTTTTGACTTTTTTTGTTATATTTTTGTAAAGCTTTTTATAAATATTTTTTATAAAAAATATAAAATTATTTGTTAAACGTGAATATAATTAACATAGATTAAGTATACATTTTTTATTTCAATATGATTAATATATAGGCTCACCAGAATTCAAAGTCGATGTCAAGTTATATATATAACTAATCAAAATTTGTATATCTCGAAAAAAGAACAAAAAAAATGAACTCGAAAACATTAACAACTGCTTTCGAGTTATACGAACTTCGATTAACCTTTGCCCTTTAGAATTCGTGTATATATATATATATATATATATATATATATATATATATATATATATATATATATATATATATATATATAAAGAGAGAGAGAGAGCTAGGTTCAAATGTGGATTGACATCTATTGTGCGGACGTGTGAATAATGTTATTCTGTGAGATTGACATAGAAAATATATTGTTTGATAATATGAATACGTTTAATCTTATATAATTATTGTAATTATTACACATTGTCACTAATTAAATCGTCAATAAGGTTATTATAGATTTTTTTTTAAATTATTCTCTTTCTATCAGAATTTTATCATGATATTTATTGAGTCGTATTCTGTAAGAATGAAAATAAATGAAAAACGATCCATGAGAACAAAAATGGATTAGAATTAGTGAGAATTCATTAAAATAACAGCAGATATGTGAGATCGAACATATTCACATTACTAAGCAACATATTCTTTTAGTAATTCTCATAAAATAATAGTATCCACACGTCCGTACAATAGTTGTACATCCACATTATATATATATATATATATATATATATATATATATATATATATATATATATATATATATATATATATATAAAAGAAATTAAAAATATGAGAGAGAAAAACAAAAGGATGTAAAGCGAATTTTTTTTTAAAACTATAAAGATACATTTTGTTAATTTTCAAAAGCTATATTGAAAATAAAAATCTGACGAAACCATTCGGACCAAAACTAAAATTTACTTTAACAATGATATATTGTTTATTCTATAATTACATTTTTTTTTTCAAAACATATTTATTACAACTAGTAAAGTGGCCCTCGCGTTGCGGGGGTTAGATGTTTCATTTTTAGCATCAACACCACCAAAACCCTTTTTATTGTAAGAGCCAATAGGATTGGAAGATGATCCGTTACAGGGGTCCATTTCATTTGTATGTGTACGTATGCTCCAGTAGTAGATAGAAGAACGTGATGAGTCAGACTAAATTCAATTTGTAGAGGTGGTAGCAAACACATTTTCTATCAGTTGGGTTCTTGAGGAGCATGACTTTCGTATGTAAACTCTACAATATCAGACTGCAAAGAAAGTTAAATGATTTTTTTGGTCACATAGTTTCTAAAAAATGTAACAAACATCATATCATATGACAAACAACAAACCTGACTTGTTATGGCACCAGATGCAGTGTCCGATGGTGAAGGTATGACGATAGATCTACATAGTGGACAGATGGAGGTAGGCAGAAAAGCATGTTATGGCAGAAAATCACTTGCCTGGTCCCCCTTGGTCATATTTCTTGGGCCTACAACAGAAACATGCACGCATGAGAATGATATGGCACATCAAATGTCATTTTAAGCACAAAAGAATTGGTTGGTGTCGTTTTTATTTTTACTATACATGTAATGTAAGGGAGAATGAAAAGATCAATTAGACATCAACTATAACTTACCTGAAGAAGTAACATTCTCTTTAAGCTTTATGACATTCTCGTGATGCACCTTCTTTAAGATTTTGATCTCGCAAACGACAGTTATTGAGAGATGTATTTAGACAATAGATTTAGATATTAGACAAATTGTGTAAGTAGTTGTTTAACAATGTGTAGCGAAAATAAGTTTTTTGCGGAAAAAGGTGTCTTAAATGAATTTCAATATTTCATTATACTTCATTTATCCCTATAAATGACAGTAATGGAACCGTAATATTATTAGCTCACTTATCCTAATGTCAGCAACTCGATTTCGGTAAAAAAAAACGTAAAAGCCTGTTTCAAACTAGAATGCGGATATTAAAAAATAATAATGAAAATTAATTCAAGAAATCATGATAATATTAGAAAAATGAGATTTAAAGAAAACATGTCTGTAATACTCCCTTGTTGATTATTTCTTTCTTTTTAATCATCACTTTTCAAACGCTTTGTTGTTTTTAGTTGTTCCTTCTCAAAAATTTCTTCCTACCGTGTCTTTTTTGGTTTCTTTTGGCCACAAATTTGATCTGTAAGCTCTGTAATAAAAAAACACAACAAAATAAATAAGAAAATGGGAATACAAATTAATGCATCGTTAATCGTTATTGATTTTAATCAACGTGTACAAATGCTAAAAACCTTCAACCCATTTGATAATGAAACATTTAATGTTTCAACAAATAATGACAACCACAATGTAAATCAAGAGTGTAATCAAATAACTATTTTATTTTAACTATAAAGAATTTGATGCGATAATCATAAAAAAAAAAATAATAATAATAACATTGTATTGAGCCACTCACCTCAAATGTTGATTCTTCAATATCATTATCACCATAATCCAAGAAAGAATCCAGTGAAAGTGAAGAGGAACGAAACTATGACAGAAATGGTAAAATACATTATTTATTGCAATTTTCCCTAATTTTCAATATACTTAATTAATGGAACCACTACATAAGTTAAAATCACATACTTTATTACTCTCTTTGTTTGGAGAACCCATATCTTTAACATCCTTCTCTTTTTTCACTTTCCCATACTTTAATTTCTCCTCAGTTTCCAATTTTTCATTATTTTCAGACTGGACAATAATACCGTTCGTAGATAAAGAGTTCAAGATAACCATTAGGCAGTATAATAATAATTGATCAATGGACTACATTTAAATCTAAAATTATAATAATATGCTTTACCTTCAGTCCTATGCAACAAATTTTTGTAGTATTTGTAGTTGAAAATCATACCACCAGATCATGCAAAACTTTTCTGTCAAATGAAACATAATCCAACAAATCGTTAGTTATAGACTTTAAAGTTGTTTTATACTTACTTTCCTAGAGCTAAACAAATATACAACATAAAAAATGAATTATGTAGCATTAACGTTTCAGTCATTCGATTGGTATCTTGAAATAATCACATTTGCAAATAAAACTCAAGATATTAAAAGTAACAGGTAAAAAATACAATACCAACGATGGATTTTTCTCCTTGGAAAATCAAAGTCATCTGAAGGCTCGATATACGATGTAGTACCAGTCGAACAAAGCAAATGTTGCTCTATTTCGGCATCTCCTACTTACGTTTATTCCAAGTCACTTACCTGCAAGGGCAATATTGTAATTCATAAGTTTGTAATAATATTTAACACATATTAGAGTTTAACATGGGGAAAAAAGCCATACACTATTATCTTATTAAAAATAAGATAATAGAGTATGAATTTTTCCCCGTATTTATGCTTCACTTCAAGTTTGTATTCAAACAAAAAGAGAACCATACTCCACATTAACACCCTATTAAATTTTGAT